GTGTAACGCCGGGGAAAGAGAGGTTTTCACTCCCAGTCTGGCTTGTGGTAGGGCTCATGAAATGAGTTGAAATAAACCCTTTTACAAAGAAGTTGGAGATCATGTTTTTGTGGTTTTTTTCTTTGGTTTGTTTCTGTTAAGTGTCCTGCCCAGGCCTACAGAACATGACTTTCCTAGTCCCATGAAAGCGTGGCTTCAGTCCTCCATAAACAGTTGCGGTTGTTTCTGGGATTTGATTTTGAGCTATTTGAGGGCAAGAACTGTTCTTACTCCCTCTCAATTCCTCTCCCTCCCCTCCCACAAATGTTTATTGCGCACCTACTATGCGCCATCATCCTCTCCTCTCCATTCTATTCCTACTCTAACACTTAACAGGACTGTCTGCTAATAGCTAGTGAGTGTTAGGTGAATGAATGAATGAATGAATGGACGAAATGTTAAGTGGCACTTCAGAAACTGGGCCAGAGTTTTAGGTTCCCCTGAAAGGTGTGGATGTGGTTAATTCCTTAGAGATGCCAGGCAGCAGAGAAATGGCTGGAGCTGGGAATAAGGATCCAAGGTTGCTGAACCACCTTGTTGTCTACCATCTTGCTGTGGGACTAGAAAAATCAAGCTCTTTATTTGGGCTGCCATCATTCTATTTTAAAAATAGGCATTCTTGGGCTGGGGATATAGCTCAGTGGCATAAGCACCTGCCTGGCAAGTGCAAGGTCCTAAGTTCGATTTCCAGTACCAAAAAAAAAAAAAAAAAAAAAAAAAATAGGCAATCTTGAGTCTTCTTGTAGAACTACAAAATTATGATTTTGTGGAACTATGATTCTCCAGAACCTTTAACCAACCCTGTAACCCAATCCCACAAAATCAAATTCTCCCCTACACGGACACAAAGACCACCAGAACCACGCCCCACTCATTTCTTGGACTGGCTCTTCTTGGTCTGACTCAGAACTGGCTGTGTCTTTTCTTGTTTAAGAATCTACACTGGCTTCCAAGGGCTGGTCATATCCAGTCTACCTCTTTCGCTTGGCTTTCAGAAAAACACGGGACCCACAAATTGACTCAGCATTGGGGTCCCACCTTCCAATGAGAAAGCCGTCTTGAGGCTGCCATCTTGGACCATTTCTTGTTTCACTTATGACATGCCACATATGACACACAGGGTGACATATATTTCTAATTTAAATTGGTCTTGATTAGATAGGTCATCCAGAAGTAAGAACTCACTGCAGGAAAGAAAACAAACAAACAAATCATCCATATTTCCACTGCCAAAGAAAAATGCTATGACCATTTTGGTTTACTTCCTTCTAATCCTTTTGTCTTTTTAAATCAGAATAGGTTTTTCACAGAAGAACTATATTAATTTCATTATCCATTGCTTACAGTTAGTTGGATGTACAGGTCACTTTTAATCTTTACCGTAATCTACGTGGTGTAAGGAACATCCTGTAACTAAATCTTTTTATACGTCTTTAATTATTTCCTTGGGCTAAAATTCCTATCAGAGGAATCACTAGGATTAAAAGCTTTTTCATGATGGAGGGGGTAGGCATGGGGAACAAAGAGCCAGCTTGAGATACAAATCCTTCTTGGAGTTGGGAGAAAACACAGACCGAGGAAGTGATAATCCCCCCTCCCTTCCCACCCCCGCCTCCCCCACTCCCTCCCCTGCTGGGGATCAAACCCAGGGCCTCATGCATGTTAGGCAAGCACTTAACCACTGAGCTACATCCCACACCCAACCCCTGTCTTTTCCTTTGGGAAGTGGCCAGTTTAAGCGGTATCCTTAGCACCATTACATCCCTCCCTAACTAACATTCCTACCCAACCAACGTCAAGTTTCTCAGATTTCTAGAAGGTTCTCCCAAAGCAATAGGCTGGGGGGTGGGGAAGCGAACAGCTGGTATGTCTTTAGCAGGTGGCAGAACTTGCCACGCGGGGCGTGGCTTCGAGAACCAGCCTCTCCCAAGTCCCCAACCCCCATTTCCCTGCCCTCTGCACCCCTCCCCCTCCCTGTTGATGAACTGTGTACTTGGATAGACACGTGTGATTGACTGTGGTATTAAGAAAATATGTATGACACAATGTTTTTTAGCTTTTTCCAAAGATATTTATATCACACAAATGGCATGTTGGTCTCCCCCCACTTAGCCACTAAGAATGAATAAATCAATTGTTCTAATCAGGCTAATGGACAGCACAGGGGCTCGAAAGATAGGTGGGCCAGGCTCTTGCGAGCCTGCTGAGGCCTGATTGAGGGATGGGGGGGGCTCACTTATCTCTTCCTACTTTTGGGCCTCTTGGAGACAGGCATGGTGACATGGGGCCTCTCCTGACTTCTCGGGGTTAAGGTCCTCCAAGGCATTTGGAGTTCCTAGGAAGAGAGTAGCTGAGGAAATTTTTAATCCTTTTTTTTCCCCAGCCCTTTCGATCTGAGCGTAGGAGCGGAGCTGTACGCAGAGAACTCACCACTGTGTTCTAATTTACAAGGTTTTTGTCTCACACAATCCCACAGACCTGACCTTTCAGAGCAACTTGAAATTGTGGGGAGAAATATAGTTTGTTGTGGTTGTTGTTATTACATAAAAATTAATGGTTTGGCAAACACAAGGATCGTCGTGTTATGCAGAGGTCATGTTTACACCAAGCAAATATATTTCAGGCTTCCTCAACCTTCAGTAGGATTGTGGGGCTGACTGGATGCGATTCCCGTGCCAGATTCCTCACCGCTCTAAGAAGGGAGGTTAGTGACAGAACCCCATCAGGCCCCAGGTTCCTTTTGGATAAAGTGGGTTTTTCAGTTTCTGACTTATTGAGTTTCCTGCCCTTCCCCCTTCGGGCAGTGAAAAAACTCAAGAAGAGGGACATTCACAAGGATGAACAAGCCTAACTTGGATCTCATTCATTGTTCGTGTATCCATTCACCAAATATTTATTGAGCACGAAGTGTCTGCCAGAGACTGAGCCGGGTGCTCGGAACACACAGCGGATGGCAAAACAGCAGGACGGTGGGGGAGACTGCAGGCAAGTCAAGCAGATGGAGACTAACCAGAAACTGCACCAGGAAGTGTAAAGTTCAGACCCAGTTTCCAGCTGTGCAAGGGAGTCTGTGGGACCGAGTTGCACGCTAGAGAGGGCCTGATCCAGCCTTGGAGAGAGTGAGCAGAGGCCAGAGAGTAGGGCAAGACTGAGGACACTGCGTCTCCAGAGACCCTCGGTGAGACAAAGTGACCCAGCTGAGGACATGCCAGGCTGGTGTCGAAAAAATGAACAAGAAAGAGGGAAGAAGAGGATGAAGCACATCCGCTGCGATGGCGATCACGAAAACACACACTTACACACAGAACATAGCAAGGGTTGGTTGGCAAGAATGTGGAAAAATCAGATCCCTGGTGTGCTGCTGGTGGGAACGTAAAACAGCACAGGCACCATGGAAAACAGTTTGGCAGTTCTTGAACAAGCTAAACACAGAGTTACTATATGGCCCTGCAATTCCATTCCTAACTGTATACCCCAAAGAATTGAAAACAGATGGGCACACAGCACTTACCCACAAATGTCCAGAGAGGTGCTCTTCGAAGCAGACAAAAGGTGGAAACAATCTAAATGCCAGTCAACAGACAACTGGTTCAACCGAACTCAGCCTGTCCATCCGGTAGAGTATTACTTGGCTGTGAAAAGGAATGAAGTACTGACACATGCTACAGTGCACATGGACCTTGACAACATCATGCTAAGTGAAAGATGACAGAGGCAAAAGGCCACATACTGTATGGTTTCATTTATATAATATACACAGAGCTGGGCATGGTGGTGCATACCTGTAGTCCCAGCACTCAGGAAACTGAGGCAAGAGGATCACTATAGGTTTGAGGCCAGTCTGGACTACATAGCAAGGTCGGTTTTTTTGTTAAGGAAATAAAATATACAGAGTGTCAGAGAGCAGCTTGGAGGTTGCCGGGGCTGGGAGGGGGAGGCCGAGGGGGAAGTGGCCCTGAACAGGTGTGGGGTTTCCCTCTGAGGTAATGAAAATGCTCTGGATTAGATAGCGGCGACGTTTACACAGTAGCATGAATATACTGAGTGTCACTGAGCCGAGCGATTTGAAAAGGTAAATTTTATGTATGCGTTTGTTATCACAGTGGGGTTAGGGAGGCAGCTGAGGCCGTGGAGGAGAGGCCTGGGTAGTGGTTTTCATGCTGTGAACAGTGAACAAATTATAGCTGCTGGTGGGAGGACGAAGGAGGCCCATGAGGAGGCAGGAGTGGGGTCCAGGAAAGGGACACGGGAGGTCTGGACAGGGAGCCCCAGTGGCAGTGGAGACAATGGGCAGATTTGGGCAGAAGAACAGGTAAAATCAAGGCAGCGTGGTGTTGGGTGCATAGCCATTCAAAACACTCAACTCTGGGTCCTCTGTGTATTTATCAGGTGCAAGGTGTGGCTAAGACCATGTGCGTCCTCCGAGGGATGTCCTAGCCCGTGCTGGCAGAAGATCCCTGGACCCAGTGTTTGGTTTTCTTCCTGCTGAACCTCCAGCCAGTAAACTCATTGCTCTGGGCCTCAGTTTCTCCCTCTGTAAAATCGGGGCGCTAGGACTCACGGGCGCTGGAAAGAGACAGCCACACGAGGCCGGCAGCACCTGCCCTAGCTACCTGCTGGGGCTCCTGGGAGACTCAAAAGAAGCGATCACCCTTCCAGGTCAACACCACGGCCACGCTGGGGCCGATGATGGTTCTTTCAGAAGGCAGGTGCCTTTCGGAAAGCTCTGAAGCCTCGCTTTACAGTCACTTTGAAGGTGATAGATGGTGGGTGTTAAAAGCTATGCTTACAACAAATCAAAACAGAATCAGAGGACTCCAGAAAGCGGTATGAGGTTAGCAGCAGAGCGGCCCCTGACACTGCCTTTCTTCCGTTCTTGCTCCGCCCCTTCCAGCGCAGCCCACGCCCCCAGGTAAGCCCCACCCAGGCCCCGCCCCCGATGTTAGCGCAGACCACGCCCCCTGGCGCTGGGCGAGCGGGGTTGGAGGCTCCCACCTGCGCTAAGTGTTCTGTGCCGGGGAGGAGATGAGGGGGCGCTCGACGGGTGGAAGGGGGCCAGTTCGGAAACTGGCAGGTGAGACTGGGGAAACTAGTCTGAGACAAGTCCCTCCTCCCATGCCTCCTCATCCGCCCCCTTGCTGAGGGCTTTGGCTTTTGCATAATGTAAGTACTTGTTTAATGCGCGAGCTGGCTCGGGAGCTTGTCATTTGTCTTTCTGTCCCTCATCCACCCCTGTGCTTCCGCCCTGTGTCTGCCTATGTGGGAGCGCCCGGAGGGGAGGGTCCTTCCCCACAGCTCCTGGCCCTGTGTCTGCCTATGTGGGAGCGCCCGGAGGGGAGGGTCCTTCCCCACAGCTCCTGTGTGACCCCCGGCCCGGGGCCGAGGGCAGAGAGAGAGGGAGGGAGG